GTCAGATAGCTCCCAACTTCTCTCTATAAAAATGGTTATTATTAAAGCTCAAGCAAGGCCTGGTGAGATCATTTCATTTTATAATTTGGCTAGGCGAGCACTTGATTTGACCTATTTTTCACAGTTGCCAGTTCTGTGGATGTTCAAGCAAATTCAGGGATAGGATCAAATATTTTTGAGCATTTTTTTGCCATCCTATACTCTTCCATGCTGTGTGTTGTTTGTTGGTGTTACCAGCGTAGTGTAGTGGAGCATCTTTGTCCAGGGCAAAGAGAGGGGGATTGAGTAGCACGGTGTTGTCGTTCTCCATGACAATCCCCTGGTACTCTGTCTCGATCCATGGCTTGTGCTTATTGGCTGAATGGCACAGAGAAGAGACCAAAGAGGCTTTAGGTTAAATGGAGCAATTAGAAGAAACCAATGTGCCTATTTTTAACACTCCATTATGGGCAAGGACATGGCGTGAGTGTGCATGAGTGGAAAAATACACAATGTATGCGTGCGTGTGACCACAAAGACAGTTTAATCACATTCGCACCCTCACAGATTTCCCCTCTTTCTTCTTTTCTCCATATAGATCTCCTTCACTTGTTCATGTCAAGTGCCACTCTGCACACCTCCCTGGTTGGCAGTATAATTAAAGACAGTCAGATTTCACCTCATCGCACACAGAGGGGTATATTGCTCATATCAATCAGCCAAACTGGCCTGCCACAAGCGCTGCACAATGAAAACAGCCGCGCCAGAATCAAATGCCTGAGGTTTACTGTGAATTTAACCTTTAATTGCGAATTAATTATTCAACCCTGTGCTGGATGTTCTGTGCTGAATGATCAAAGGCCAAGTTAATGAGCCAGAAGGATGATGATTTTACACACCAGCAAAGAGCAAAAACAAAAGCCGGAGTGCCTCCCCTGTGTTGTCCTCAATCTCTGAACGCTCAAGCGAGTTTGAAATTAGACAGAGGCACAAGACTTGTGTTTAGCAGTTGCTTTGTTGTCTACACAGTGAATTTTCCAGAAAATCTGACTGGAACTAATTTTGCCGTCTTGTCTGTGAGAAGAGAGTCAACAGAGGAAAACGCTGCTGGTTCTGATTCTGATCTCTCTCTCTTCAAAGACTGAAGAGGGCTGGGTATCGTTTGAAATGTTTTAGATTATAGACCCAATACAATACTTTTTTTGATACCTCACTGGAGACTATAAATATGTATTTTCTCAGTGGTAGAAGCTACTATTACATTGTACTTTGTACTAATTTATTTGACAGACATAGCTACTAGTTACTATGAGGTCAACCAGCTATATCACAACTGCTGCTTGGCAAGTAATGCATCAATAATAATAATCGAATAATGTAATATACTAGTCTGCTACCTGATGAGTACTTGTTCAAGCCAAAACATTAAGGTGCTCTTGATCAAATCTTGCTGATATATGTACTTCTAAGTAAGATTTTGAATGCAGGACTTGAGGAATTGCTACTTTTCCATCTGAAACAATAAGATGATTAATTAAACTGATCGATTAAAAAAATAGACTACTTTGATAACTGAGTAATTGTTATGTAATTTTTTAAGCACAATATCCAACATTCCCTATTTGCTGCTTTCATTCATCTTAATAATAATAATAAAGTCTAAACATCTCTGGGTTTTATACTGTTGGTCAAACAAAAAAAACAATTTGAGGACATTAACTTGGCTCTTTCCCCCCATTTTCTGTCTTTTCATACACCAAATGATTAATAAAGAAAGTTAATGGCAGATTTTAAATAAAGACAATTATTGTTGTTGCAGCTCATGCTACTGTTACAAAACACATTTTTAATTCAACAAAAGAAGCTAAAACTCTCAAATGATCTTAGATGTCCAAATATCTGATCACAGAATAAATAAAGAGCGCAAATCTGACCAAGCTTTCCACGCCAGACGGTTTGTGATACTCTGTGTTTTGGACATATAGTTTGTTTCATAAAAAGTACTGAGGTTCAATACTCAAAGTATTCATCCTCTCCTCTCAAGGTCCAGCCTGACATCTCTACCCACTGCTGCTCCTCTATTTCCACAGTCCTCTGCCATGTCTGTTTTTTGGTCATCTATCTCCCACTCTGTCTCCCCACAACTGATCTCCCCCCCCCCCCACGCTCTGCTATATAGCATTAATCTGAGCATCAGGCCCGTGGATTACATCCAGGATTACAGATTGAGAGGCATCCCATTCCATCTCTCCCTGTCTCTCCTGGCACTCTTCCTCTCTGTGTCACTCTATCGCCCCACAACACTCCCCCGCCCCTCCTCGTCGGTCACACACACACACACACACACACACACACACACACACACACACACACCGTTATCTTGCGCTTTTCTTTTTCCCTCGTGTCACCTGATCTCACGTACCACCTCCTCCACCACCCCTCCTTATCAGCCAGTGTCTTTTCGGCCACGTCCTCTCCTGTCACAGCTCCTTCTCCTGTGTCTCTCCTAACATCTCCCCCGTCTCTCTCTCTCCCCCCTCTCTCTGTGTTTCTCTGACACTCCATCTCTCCTTCAATCTCGTCTTCCCTGCATCACTCTCCTCTACCTCCTTCTCTGACATTCTCCCTCCACGCTGTCTGTTTCATTCGCCTTCCCCCAGCATGATAATCATTGGAACAATGAAGCTGAATCAGAGCCATGGTTATCCAGGATGATAAATCTGCTACAGAGGAGGAAACAGATTTATCACCTTCCCAGAGTCACGGCACTGGCAAAACAGGCACATGCACACTGGGTCACGAACACGAAACACAAAATGTATAAACATATATGTATGTAGTTTAAAATGCTGGAGCTATATCTAATAATTACACACATGAGGGATAGCAATAAACTCGTCAGGAGCATTTCAGGGCAAAACCGGCATGGCCTTGCCCGAGCACCTTGACAGGTCTTCGTTCTCCCATGGCAATCATAAGGTTCATCTCAACACTTAACAATTAACAGTCAAATGCATGAGGAACTGACCTTTGTTGCCATTGGCAACCGAAGTCAAGCAAAGGAGGAAGAAGGAGAGAAAATTCATTCTGTCCATCTGAGGGAAGAAAGAAAAAGTAGAGGGGGCAACGGGGTGGAGTGAGGGAAGGGGGGGATACAGTACATGCATCAACAACTCATCAGCACTGGAAGAGACAGGTACAGTAACAAGACAGAGAGAGAGAAAAAAAGACAGGCAGACCTATCAAATGGTACACAGAGGTTGTTTTGTTAATACCTTGCTGTGTTTGTACAATAAAACACACTGCACTCATGTGTCATGTATGTAACCTTTAGAGGCCTACATTGGTGAGACTGACCCTTCAAAATGAACTTAGTTTGAATCAGTACAAAAAAACCAACAAACCACAAGTGTTTCCCCAAAATGCTGATTTTGGACAGTCCTCAAAATCAGTCTTGCAGTTTCAGAGCCTAGAATATAGCCTATGGAGCATGCACGTACCTGGTCCTGAGTGTGTGTATGCCAGTGTCACTAGAAATAGGCTTTGCATGCGGCTGTGCGGGTGTTTTCCCATGTTTTAAGTGTGGTTTGTCAGTTAAAACTAATACAGCTGATGTCTTGTGGCAGTGGCCACAACTGAAAAATGAGTCCTTGGGGAGGATTTTTTTTTTTACAGCTCTCACTGACATAACAAGCCTTTACGTGTTTCCATTGCTGCAGTCCTCGATAGGCTGCAGGACAAATACTGTAGATTACATCAAAAAAAGAGGAACAGGATACTCCATATATGTGCACGATTTTCAGGCTACACGTACATCCAAGAGCTGAGAAACATGCTATGCGACAATAATCAGCCGTTTTACATTACAGGCTGGTCTTGACACACATTACCAGCCCGGGTTCCGTGACTGCCTGTAGCCATATTGTGAGCTTAATACTAGAGAGGTGTCGCAGAAATGTAGGTTAGCTGAAGCAGGAACCTGCAGATTTGACATTACCGTGATGAGTGCGGTGATGCTCCTGGTTGGTACCCAGCCTCTACGCTCGCAGCATCCGCCTCTCACGCCCCTGCCGCTCGGCTCGGCAATCCCCCGCAGGCTGAAAACAAACCACCAGGTAGGAAGGAGACACTAGGTACTCTTAACACAGCGCCTCGAGAAATGATATATTTCAGCCTGGCGTTAAGACTCGGTGATGAGACGTGAGGAAGATTAAGAGACCGATGGATGCCCTTGTTTTTTCGGCTCTACGGAGGGAGAAAAAACGATGGGGATATTACGCTGGCGTCCCCTCCCTCTCGGCGTTTCTTAACCCGCCCACACTGCGTCCTTCTCTCCCCCCTCTCTCTCACTCGCTCCGGCCCCCACCAGCTCTGAACCAGACTGCTGCTCTGGCTGTTTTTGCTGTTGAACGCACATTGAGTGACTCAGACCCCAACACAGCAATTCATCTCTACACGTTACTCTTCAGCTCTGGTCCTGCTGGATGGGTGACACATTTGACCCCCCCCTAAAAAAATATATATATTAATTTCCCACTGCTCAAGCTTCCCCATAACCAGACTGCAAAATGACGTCATATCACCCCTTTTTTACCCTGTGCTCCTGTCACACAGATGAAGACAGTGGGGGCATCCACACGCGCGCGCGCGCGCGCACACACACACACACACACACACACACACAATAACTACAGAGTCCTTGCTTGAAACGCAGCATTTTAATGAACATTATAAAATTGTATTTGAAAATCAGCCCCCCCCCACCCTCCTCCACCCCAAGTTGTATTTACCTTTGTACATTTGGTAGGAATAAGGCAAAATAGTAGTCTCTTGAAATAGCAATTCACATCAATTAATAACCACCAAGTAATGTATAAATATTACTAAAATCTGGGCTGTTGCTACAGTGAACTTCGTCCTCTCCATGTAGGTGGTTAGCCAGGGGAAGGCAGGGCCTTCCTCCAGTATGCCATGGATCAGACAATCCAGTCCCCCCCCCCAAAAAAAAAACATTGTGAAAACAAAATGAAAAGAGGCATCACCTACAGTGGGATGCTTTTACTTCACACTCTTGTTTAATCACCACCTGCTGTTAGAAACAGAAGAACAGGCCATAAGTGAAACACAAAAATGGATTTTCCCCCTCAATTGTCTTTTGTTTGTTTTCTTCCAGTTCAAAATGAGACAATTCCTCAGTTCACAAACAGCCTATACCCCTATTTGTGGAGATCAGAGTGACTATAGGATGAACCAAAAATGACTAACTGTAGTGCGTGTGTGGTTGGGGCAGTGTGCAAGTCTCCTTGTGAAATAATTCACTTTCACCTCTGTGTATTTCAGAGCTGAGGGCCGGGCTTGAATCAAGGCAGACTGAGGAGTGGTGTGGACTGAACAGAGGGAGAAGAGGATACACACAAAAAAACAGAAACACCACACCAGGAAAGGCAGGAGAACAATGCAAATTCTTTTCATGAAATCTTATCCAAAGCTACAAAATTCTCTTTTTCATAAAAGCCGTTCAAACTCTATAAAATCAAGTCTTTTTTTAAAATCACAAATCAAATTTAAAACCAAAACAAATGTACTGTAAAAACATTCATTTATAGAAGGCCATTTTGAGTTGTGGGTAAGTGTTCAGTGTGATTTACAGTGCTTGTATAACCATTGGCAGCCATTTTCAAAAAACAACCCCCCTGATTATTATTATCCGTCGCAGAAAGCTGTATGCTTTTTGTATTATTACATTAGAAAGTGTCACGTACAATGGGGCTGTGCTTAAACCTCTTGCCGCTGCCGCTAAATGTGGGTGCTCGATGTGCGGGAGAAATGACCAACCCCCCCCCCGTCAAAAAAAAGCAAAACACACACACACACACACACACACACACACACACACGAGCCACTGAATTTGACAAATTCAGAAACTGTGACTGGTGAGTGCAATTCTGTATCGACAGCATGTAAGTCTCTCAAGTTCTACAAGTCCCACATTTCTTAACAAAAGAAAAAACAAACAAACAGGAAATCACCCCTGATTGGCTCACAATTACCCCATGTGGCACGATGGTCATTTCCTGTAAACATTTCTCCAAATGTTTATAAAAACACCCTCCCATTTAAAACACAAAAATATATAGAATTTTATTTTTACATGGGGATATATATATATATATATATATATATTATTCCATTCTGCTCCATGAAAGTCACAGTTCCCTTCAGTGGATATTTAGCCTTAGATGGACCTGGAAGAAAACAGAGATATTTTAACACTAAAACATTTACCCACAGCAGCATTAATGACTGAAACATAAGGCCTGTCCTTGCTTACCATGCCAGATCTTATTACCAAGTTTTAGTCCTGCTTTATCGGACTCCGCTCTTTCCTAGGCACCAGCACCTTACGGAGGTATGGCATGCTTAAAAAGGCTACGAGGAAGAATACGTGACCGCAAAAATAGATGGACGAATACACCTGAAAAACAAAAAAGGTGACAGAACAGTCAAATTACAATCCTCATTTACACATCCCAATGTTATGATGACACCTGGTCTGTCTCTACCCCGCCTGTCCACCAGCTGCCATCAGAGCGTTTCCCATCTTTGTCAATCACCTGACTCACCTGCATACCTGTCCCTCGACCCCTTGTCAGGTCACACATGTCCCTCAACGAGCCGCAGTGTATAAATACCAGCCACTTTCCCCAGACCATCTAAACATATTGTTGCACCCATTTCCTGTTCCTGAATAGCTGCCGTTATTTGCTTTTCCGTGTTTAAGATTCCCTTCTTGTTTCCAGTAAACTGCCTTCAAGGCCGTGTTCAGAAACATAAACAATAGCTTTGTGTGAAAAAAACCCGCAGCCCTAGTCATTCTTTTCACTGACACAACAGAGTGAACTTCCTTGCCTAGCAATGTGACGTCACCTAGCAAAGCATTGTGCTGTCCAATTAAATGCAAGTCACTGTTCATTGGTTTTGCTGTGCCTGGCAAATTACAGTGTACATATTAATTTAGGAGTAATAGTAATAATTTCACGGTTGCCATCTGTTCTGTACATATGAAATTGTTGCATGTCTGGAAGAGAGTTGCTCCTCTGTTGCTCTTACTGAGGTTTCTTCCATTTTCCCACCAGTTAAAAATGTTTTTTGGGGAGAGTTTCTCCTTATTTGAGTCGGTTATCTAAGGATAGAGTGTGTCGTATGCTGTACAGATTGTAAAGCCCTGGGGCAAATTTGTGAGTTTGGATAAATAAAATTGACTTTTCATGATGAAATATAAAAAGATTATAGCTGTAAATCCTCTTTTATAATATAGTAAAACAGCTGTGTAGTGTTTTTGCTTTCCTTGGGCCTGTTTCAATGTAATGACTTGCGAGCACTACTAATACGCAGATTTTGAATGGGGAAACATCCTATTTCACAAATAATTGTCACTCCCAAACTGCAGATACATTTGTGATTCATAAAGGGCTTTTGCAAGGTTAGCCAGTATGGTGTTTTTGTTTGGATTAGTTAAACATGTCAAAATGAGAGAGAAGATAGTGATCTTATATTGCAAATCAAGACCCCGGGACTGTATTTCAACATGTCCCCACCCCTTGGTTTAACTTTAACTATGATACCCAAAGCTAAATGCTAAAAGCGAGCGCAAACACATTTATCCCGTGACTGAGAGTTGTGAGTTACCTTGAGCCATTTGTCATAGGTGAAGAGGCAGAATGGCACTAGAGGGTAGCCCATGAAGAGCCAGTGGAGAAACTGTTGGACTATATAGATGAGAGGGTAGAATGCGCTGTTGGCCAGCTTTGTCAGCAAGGGACTGTCCTTCACTAGTGCCAGGGCCTGTCAGAAACACACACATACATATTCCATAACAGTTATAGTAATACAATACAAGAGTGGTTATATAATAAACTGTTACCAAATTGTGAGTGTTGTCAATATTCAATTGCATTCAGCAGTGAGGTGCATTTGATCAATAGTGTAATGCTATTTAATAACAAGAGACTGTCACTTGATTAAAAGTAAACAGTGGATTTATATGATGCAGATAAAGCAGAAAGACAGCTTCAGCTTCCTGGAGTTAATTATCTTTAGGTTTCTTATTGCCACATTCTGCCCTGTATCTGTAGTATACCTGTCTCTCTACAGTGATGATGAAGAACTCCATGGAGAAGCACAAGACGTATCCGGAGTGAAGACCATGCCAAATCGTCAGAAAGAAGAGTGTGGTCACATGAGAGAGGGTTTTATTGCCCAGGAATTTCAACCGCTTGAAGACATGTCTGAAAAAAAAAAGAAAAAAAAAAAAAAAAGAAGAAAATCAGGTGAAGAGTTATGGATCATCTCTTTCTGACTAACATTCTGGATAAGGGCAGTCAGAAATGCTTAATGCATCAGCTATCACTGCCTACATGGCAAGCACTCACTTACCTGGAAGTTGTTGCATAGCAACTGAGGTTATATTAAAACATTTCAAGAACTTCGCATCCTCTACAAGAGTACTCCACAATACACGGCTGGTCCCGGACTCTGTGTTACAAGTGCACGCGTGTTTTGTTTTCAATCGCCAAACCTGTGTTTTTGTTTGTGCTTGTCACCTTTTTCTGACGTCAGAACTCATTTTTGTAACTTTCCGAAATTGAAAATCTGACAAGCACACTCTCCTACCGCAAGTGTTTTGATAAGGTGAGAGGTATGCAGGATCTGAACTTCTCTTTCAAGCTCCCGTTTTTCATGCGTCACACAGCTATTTCTGCTAATTCTGGTGTGCACGACCCAGTGCAACACTATGAATGCCTTTGATTGCGTCTCACCCATCTCTATGACAGCTGACTTTCCTCCCCACCTCTGAATGCGGCCATTTGGAAAAAGGTATACGGTATTTTAAAGGGCATTTACTACAAAGCAGTTTGTTTGAAGCATACTGACCCCTTAAGGAGCTTGTCTATATATCAAACATTCTCCTCATACTCTGGTACTGTATATCGTAATACAAATGCCTCATAAAAAGCTTGCATGTTTATAATCCTATTCAGCCAGTCTTCCAGTGGAGCAAGCCTTAACAAATATAATATAAAACTTAACCCCTTTAAAACTAAACTGCTTAAGTGTAAAGTGTGTGCTGTGAGAATCAAAACTCAGAAGTGGCGCATATGTGACTATAAATAGACTTTACTTTGTAGGTCAAACAATGAGAGCATTTTAAGTGTGAGTCTGTATTTTAACTACCAAGGGCATGAAAGTTCTCCATTGACCAGCTATAAACTCACCTATAAGTGAAGTTCTAATAGCCTATTAGTTAACTGAGATGATCTTTATTTCCATTTTGGAAAGGTGTCACTCCCCTCCTCCACTCCCACTGTGTCTCAGGGACCATGTAATAAACTGTATGTTCAATAAATTGCTTTGCTCACCGTGGTCATCATCAAATGATGTCACATGCTCCTACTGGAAAACTGCCTTTAATTATCTGAAAACTGCAAAACTTTTGAACCCCTTCCAGCAGGGGTGTCCGCTCCCTCCCTTCTTGTGTTAGAACAAACTGTGAAGACAGGCCTTGGCATGTGATACCAGGCTGCTCCTCTGCATTGCCACATCTGCATATCGGATTGAACTGTTATACCCTCTACTTCGCTGTTATCATCTGAGTGAATATTTAACGTTTACAGCACCAATACAAGCCAGTGAACGTAACAGATTCCACGCTTGACACTGACCTGGAAGCCCAGGCATTTGTGTTGATGTTGAAGGAAGAAATGGTTCCTCCAAAAAGCGGCGTGGTTTCAAAGAGCCACACCTTCATATTGGCACAGGCGTCCCACTGGTGCTTCCCATCCACTTCACCATTGTAGCCTAGTCCAGATAATATACATACACCCTCCTATAAACACACAAAGCACACATCATTTTTATCATTTGCAGGTAAGATCCCACCATGAAGCACAAAAACCTGATAAACTGGGACTGTACTTAATGCTCTGGGTTCAAATCAGGGTGTGCCATAAAATAATGTATTCATGCATGTAGTGTAGGTGTATGCAAAGGTATGTAAATGTGTTTTACTGTTTAGCTCTCTCTATGCCGTGTTAGGCCAGGTATTGTATGTAAACAAAACTTCATCTAAATGAGGTTTATTTTAGAAAGCAAATCAGTAGCAGTTTGCCATCAAGGCACAAACACATTTCATGGTCATATCTGGAGATCAAGAGGGTACTTACCGCTATAACCCAACAGCTGACATATTTATACAAAATGACTTTAGCCCAAATCAGTAAAAACACACAACGATACCAGAAGGGCTGAGCCTGTGGAAAGGACATAGTTTTATATTTTAGACAATGAACATTGGGGGGAGGGGAGGAAGACATAAGAATACAATAAAAGAATTTGTTGTTGTTGTTTTGTTTTGTTTTTTTTACATACAACATATTGTCATTCTCACCTCATACTCATCTGTTAAGAAGTAACTGTCTGGGTAGTAGGGACTAAATATTGCATATATCGCCAAGCAGAGAAAACCCAGAGCAAACCTCTTCAAAGCCGGCACAATGCTGGAAAAGAAGGAAACAAGATGAGCATGGGAATAAAGGGAAGGTACTAACATTAACTACAGGGCTGTGACACTGCACCACGCTAAATAATGATAGTCTTTAAGCTTAATTTTCTTTTCATCACCCATGATATTCCTCGCTCTCTAACCTGTTTGGAGGCTTTCCTGGGCAGTCGGAGAGCTCCCCTGCCACCAGCCTCTGGTAGCTGCGCAATGTAAACTGGGGCCCCACCAGGAAGCCTCCATAGAAGTAGGAAAAGCCGCACACTTCGAGCAAAGAGGGGACAGACGGCAGAGCTGCTTTCTTCTGTTCAGAACTCAACTGGGACTGGAGTTTAAAGAGACGAGAGAGAAGGGAGATATGAGAGAGGGATGACGGGAGTGGAGGAAGAGAACAGAAAAGGACAGATTTTAAAAGCACCTTGATGAGCTCAGGATGCATCTAGTCACAAAGGATTCGTTTAGAATTCGACCTCGATCTAGACTGACCACAAGGCTCAATATGACCCAACTAAAAACTGGCATTAAACTGCAGGCTGCAAACTGAAGAGTGGCTGTTGACATTCATTTGAAACATTTAGGAGACAGTGATAAACAGATTAAAAAAAAAAAAAAAGAAGAAGAAAAAGCACAGCATAAACACTCATTAGAATAAAAATGAAATGAAGCAACAGAAAAGAACAGCTAACACAGATACATATATACTAAAAGGAGTTAAAAAACCGGGGGAAAAAAGCTGCTGAACAGTTATTGTAACAAAATGAGCTTTAAGCTGGTTGGCTAGGGATGCATATTTGATGTCACTTTATAGCATTTGTTTGACCATTTATACTACCATATATGCTGCAAATCAATGCGTCCGACTGCTCTATGGAAATATTGGATTGGAAGATGTTGTACTAATGTGATCACATCATTTTTAGGAATCCACTGATCCTGTATCTGGTTACAGTTTCTCAATTGAATTTCCATACAAATGTGCTGGATCTTAATATATACTGATGATGCGATACATTATTACATATGCCGTGTAAGACGTTTTTATCCTCATCACCCACCCGCCTTTTAAAATCTCTGCGGGCTTTATTTCTCTGGCCTCTGTTGTGTCCTGTTTTTCCCCTGTGTTCTATATAATCTTGTCTTCTCCTCCATAGAGCCTTTAATAGGCAAACAGAGAGAGCCTGAGCTGACTGAGGCCACATTAAAAAAGGAGGGGAGGCAGAGTAACGGGTCAGGCCAGCTCCCCACCAGTACAAAGCCCTTTTGTTATGTTGCAGTTATTTCACTGTTGCGTTAGCCAGCTGGGACACCAGGCCTGTTTTGTTTTTTTTTGGTTGGTTTAGTTTCATACAGTTTTAGCAGTTTAGTGGGAAGATCTGTGTCCAACAGTCTGGATCCTTGTTTTGATCTTGCCCGGGGTGTCAACAGACCTTCTTAAGTAAGTATTGTTTGCTTTGCAATAAAGCACTGTACCATTGTGGTGGCATTTAATATGTTTCGGTCACTGTTCCCAGACACTGTCCAGTTATAGAAATAGTTATGTTTCCACACCAACATATCTATTCACTTATCTCCTACATACTTGAAAATAAACGTGCGTTGAGCGGAAATTCTATTTGAATAGACTATTTATCAATTAGTTAGCAGACAGAAAATTAATCACCAACAATCTTTTTTTAAAGCACGTTCCAGTTTCTCAAATGTGAAGATTTGCTGAACTGGTGGTCAGACAAAACAATCTAACATATGTCACTTGCGCCTTACATTCTGGGAAGTTGTAATGAGCATTTTTGACTATTTTTTAAGATTTTAAATCCCAAACAATGCATTGATTAATTGAAAAAAATAACTGTCTGATTAATCACTAATGAATTAATCTGCAGGTGCGCAAAGATCACATTTCTTGAGTAAGTTTTGTTTGAGCCATTGTTGTGTTGAGGACCCAATATTTACGCTAGTGCTTTAAATTACTTAATTAATTACTCAGGTGACTTTACTCCTCTACTTGTTGAACCTCATCTACCTCCCTTTCACACATGACTAAATGGAAAAAAAGAAGAAGCAAGAAATGAAAAAGCAAAACTCAAAACAAAGACCATGTCCAAGACACTCGACACACTGAGCAATGATCAAGCAGTCAAAAGCAAGAGAGACCAACAAACTCACTGGTTCCTTCCCGCCGTCATAGTAATCAAATGTCAAACCTGTAATCAGAAAATGCAACTGGTGTCAGAACCTATGTTAGAGTGGCTAATGTTGTCATGATCATTTGAACACTTGTAAGCATGCAATGGCCGTGTCAGCAGTTCATCAGCGTGTTAATCGTTCACTAGAGTACAGAGGGGAGATTGCAAAAACAGCAACGGGAAGATATCAAATCAAACACAACGAGAAATCACCTGCGGTTATGAAACAATTGGGTTTGTCAAGCGGAGGAGTGCAAGGAGAGCGGCAGTCAACTCACCAACAAGTTTGAGTGTGAGGACACAATGAGGCATAGTCCACTTGATGTCATACTCCTCCGTCGCTGTGTAGTAATACCCTGCCAGCAGGTATACCTACAGGAAGACAGAGTGGATATAAAGACAAAGACATCCAGTAAGAAAACATCTGCGTTATCAAATTCTGTAAAAAAATAAAAAATAAATAGGAAATCTGGAATGGACATATTTTTGTTGCCAACTTGGTTTCATCACCGTATTTTTTTTTTTAAGTGTAAGCAAAAAAATGCACGAGCATGCAAAAATAAAGGATTGAGCATTCCCGCTTTAAGCATGTGTGACCACCTCACAAGGCCTTTGTTATAACTGGCCCTTATAATACATGGGACAAATTGTGTGTTGGCTTTACCAAAGCAATTAAAGGGAATAGCAGAATAGCACATTGAGAAATCAAATATTAACTGTGCAGACAAATAGGCAGTACATGAGCCAACAGCAGCAAAAGTCTGACAACAGACAAAAGGGAGCTAATGCCACAAAGTAAGCCTGGATGCATGGAAAAGGGCTAGGAAACACCAGGACACCTCACCATTTGAAAGGTAAAGCTGCTCAGGACAGTTGTTACCGTCCTTCCCATGAGCCTCAGCATCAGGAATTGGATGAGGATGCATACTGCGGAGTGATAGATCTGAGAGCCTGGGAAAGAGACGGACAGAGGGGAGGACAGGGGGGGCAGGGTGGGGTGGTGAGTGCAGACAAGCGTAACCTGTAGGACTGGACATGACAACAGCATTTTTCCTCCATAGTTCAGTATTGGCAGAGATGGAGAAAAAGGACAACAAGACAAATCCACGACACACATCCGACTTGAAATGAGCTGTCAAAGAGGTGTGGGAAGAAAAAAAAGTATTCCACAAGGAGAAAGATAAAGCAACAGACCTGCTGTGAAATCCAAGTGCAGCCACAACAGAATAAAAGGGAAGAGACAGAAATCAGTGTTAGCGGTTTGCGTTTACCTCGGCATGCCACTCTCGTCCATGAGGAAGCTTCATCCTTTCATCCTATCTAGAGGAGCACGTCTTACCTCTGTCATCACATTGGCAATTTAGAAATATAAGTTTATTGTAGAGTTGAAACTATTAGTAGTTTAACTGATTTGTCGATTGACAGGAAATTAATCCAGAAATCAATTGATGTCGTTTTTAAGCAAAAACTTCAAACACTGAGTGTTTCCGGTTTCTCAAATGTGAATATTTGCTGTTTTTCTTCGTCCTCTATGATAGTAAACTGAATCAGGGCTGAAACAAATGATTTTTTTCATTATCAATTAAGCTTGATAATAATTGGCAGATTATCGGTTAATCAGTTTGGTCTATGAAATATAAGAAAAAAGGTGAACTAGGCCCGTTTTAATTTACCACAGCCCCAGGAAATCTATTCAGATGACTTTTTATTCAACTAACAGTCCAAAAATCTAATATTCACCTGGAACGAGCAAATTACACTTGCAGGTCTACATTTAATTAATATCTTTGGACTCTTGGTTGGAACAAACAAGCAACCTGAAATTCTTTGCATCTACATTTTATGGACCAAACAACGAATCAATCAAGCGTGAAAAGAATCGGCAGATTCAATCGAAAATGAAAAGAATCGGTTAGTTGCAGCCCTCAGCCGTGCAAGAAAAAAGACCGCCTACATGGACAAAAATAGCATTTATATGTAAATTTCCACTTGCCAAACCTGCTGGCTTTAAAGAGCAACACATTGACTTCCTTGTCAACCAAACCCAGAAATGACCTATTAGTTGATGATTCATCCAAATGTGAAAGACGGTTCAACTAGACATTCCTCTGCTATTATGTTCCAAACTAAATGGGTCAAAATTGCTTTGTGTTTAAGTGCGTTGTTTCCTTTAGATGTTCCAGCTTTTCATTAAATATGTCATTCAAAAGATGAATTATATTCAGCTGCTTCAGAGATCCCATTTAGTTTGCAAATAAATCTTTCACTTGTCAATCCAAAACAATCAATAAAACAATTCAAAAATGTCTCTAAGTTTAGATAACTGATGGTGGTTTAAGTAGCATTTAGACCTTAGCCCTGACACATGATCTTGAATGACTTGATTTCTTCACCAAGCCCAAAGACTAAAATGTCATTCTAGCTGGTGCTAACATACAATGTTTACATTTAGTGTAATTAAAGTGACCTTGTGGACAATTAGCCGGGTTTTATGAGAGGGTCCTTGGTTTGTTTGTCTCGAGGCTACACACGCGAAACACAAAAAAGACCTCAAGGATACACACATTGCATTCTGGTAAGGAACGTTTTAGACACAACTAAGGGCTCCAGACTGTGACAGTGCTACTAAATTTTAGAACAAGGAGCAAATATGGCTATATATTATGTTTGACCTCACGCTTTCTAGCAGCAACCTCTGCAGGGACCAGTCCAGGTGTGATGACACTCCTCACAGGAGCACATATTTTAAAACAAGACAATGTCTCTAAGTCAAGGTTTAGTTAAAACTCTGGACTAATGCAACATGAAAACCAGTGGTTTGACTATAGATTAAATATTGAATTTTAAATTAATTAATTGAATGGACAGATTACCAGGCAGCAGGGCCAAAGCTTGGCGTTAAATTTGATCATTTTCTACATTGTATATATTCTACAATTTCTTATTTATGCATATAAAAATATTTAGATATTGATATATATTAAGAAAATTTCCTATTCAATAAATATTATTTGTTTACACCTCATTCTGTTATGTATAGGTCTACCTATTCTTATTCAGGTGTGACTCTGTGGCAAATGGTTTACATGACTCAGGGGTTGCTTAGAGCATAGGAGTTGCATGTCAATTTAAGTGGTGCATGTAAATTTTGTGCTAGTGCTCCTACACTTTTCATTAGGGAGCACTGGTGCTACCTGTGGAACAAGTTAGTCTGGAGCTTTGATAACTTGTGTGCATTTCCAAGAAAACTCAGCAGGGCAGCTTTATAGAAGGCCTGACACATACCTTTGAATACTGAAAGAAAAATTCATTTACAACTGAATAACAACAAAGGCCCAATCTCCCTCTTCATCTCACCAAAGTTGAATGCTGCTAGAGCCACTCCGGAGAACACGTGGAACAAGTGTATAACTGTGGCAGGCTGGTAGAACAAGAACCGCCGGTACACAAGAGCACAGGGATACCCTGCAGGAGAGATGGAGAGATGGAGAGAAATATGGGGGTGGGGGGGGTTAATGGAGCTATGGTACGTGTCTTCATATCAGCCAAGAGAGGCCATTGTTGACACCACCTGATATTAACAACACCAACGTTGTGGTGAAAGCGTACACACACACACACACACACTATTTGTACGTATCTGTTCCTCGCAAATCTGGCATCTCAAGGACAAAGATAGCTGCCCTAAGTACCACAAGGACAAACACTCACCAGTGATAACTGTAAAGGTTTTTTTCACATAGGGAATTCTTGTTCATATTTTAACTCATCATAATGTTATTACTTATTGATTGATATTTGTATTGCATATCTGAAATGTAAACACCTTCTCCAAACTGCTACATTATAAATATGTTTGTCAGAAATATGACGTGATTCTGGAGTTATGACTTTTTGAGAAAAGTGCAAACGTGGTCTACAGTATAATACAACAGGCCGCCATTTGAAATGAACTCCATTTGATTGAATGAGATGACCAAATCCCTGCACTTCTTTCCAGAGACTACTCTACTGGGAAATTTAAAGGATACAGCTTGAAATTTGCAAAATTTTTCTTATTGCCAACAAACCTCATGCAAAGACCAAAACCAACAATGAACTGATCCAACTAACAACGTGTTGATGTAGCCAATGCCTGATATATCTTCTTCCTCTTTGTCAGAGAGCACCATTGTTGTCTGATGTGTAGCTGTAGTGGTGCATTTTCAGCAGAATCTAGAAACATATTCAAGTCCCACACAGTGCATTACCCTGTAGTTGCTAATGCAAAGCAGTTGCCTGACGAAACCATAAATCACATTAGCCTATGTATAGCGGGCAAAACCTCCTGGTATTTTAGGCTCCACTGTTGCAGTGCAATGCAGTTACTATATGACTGCAGCATTATGCAAGACACATTAAGCAACACCAGGACAAGGAGCAACAGGCCAACCGAAGGGTATTAGCCAACCAAAGTGTGGTCTGCATGGCCATGTTCAGTCTATTGTATTGTCGGTGTGAGGCGACATAGATAGAAGACTTGTCTATGTGTCAGGACAAAGTTCAGAGAGGACAACATGGAGGAAACCCACACCCCTGTCATCCCCACCCTCTAGTCCTAACTTAGTGCTACATGTTACAACCTAGAATAAAACAGCAGACCCTACGTTAAAGCAAACATGTGCACTTTAATGAAATGTCACAGCAGCCTTGTGCCAACATTTTTAACCCCATCAAAGTCTGTCTCCCCTCTACTCAACTAAGTGGTAAACAGAGGGTTGTGAGGGGGACAGTTTTTGGCAGCCTGTGACCATTCTTCTTGTCAAAGTATGTCCCTCTCCCCAACATCACTGAGGCTATTATTTTCATTATCCGGGTCTCATACATTAATGCTAATACTACAACCCACACAAAGGTTTATTAAACTGTAGCAAGGCGTGTTTTTTGTAACGTTAGTCTACATTTAGTCACTGCCCCAGCTTACTTGACCTAATTGTCTGCTTTGTTATATAGTCCAACAATTAGGAAAATAATTAAAAAGAAGGGCAAATATCGACAGTAACCACAATGGCAAGCAGACAGCCATACACCACACAAGACTACCCTCATATCAGTTAAAAGCCACAAGTTAGCCATTGGTGATGATGTTTGGCAGGAAGGGTGTGTGCCATTTATTCACATAAGCTTTCTGGAAATCAATTACTGGGTTCGTGGAAGCCAGGTATTTATTTATCCGGATCATTATTTAGCTAGCTGTACAGTAGTAGACCAAAACAACTAGTTTGCAGCCTGTAAGTAACGTTACACTGTGTGTCTTCCCAGTTAACGTTAGTAACCTGACTGAGCGTTTTGTTAGCAGTGAGTGTAACAGACAGAACTCAAACATGTCACCGGAGCGGATGCTATTTCAACTAGCTACAAGAACAAACCGTAACTGATTCGTGAGGCCAAACTCACCGATTATTATAGATAATATTAGTCGAACCGCTGGCTCCGGGGAACCTAAGGACTCCGACAGATTCTCCAGCAAGGGAGCCGCCATCTTTCTTGTGGGCGGAAACGTCTCTCCGCGACGGTTCAGTAGTGAACTCTACTGACTCACGGCAGACCTCCACGCATATGTGCACTCGGGTTTTTAAAGACCCTTCGCGGCTTCAACCTCCTTCAAAGTTTAACTGTGATGGTTCTCCTCCCACTTCCACGCCCCCCCTCACCTTCCTGTCTCGTCCCTCTTCACCTTCTTCACCTTTTTATACAGTCTGTGCTCTTCGCCACAATATATAGTTGTTGCATTTTTTGTATTAGTATTTTAGCATTTGTATACTTGCACATCTTTGATCCCGTTACTTTATTTACTATATTTATGTTTGTGTACTGTTAAGCACCAACATATGCAAATTTCTCGTATGTAAAAATGTACGTGGCAACAAACCCGATTCTGATTATGACAGTGTTTCGCTGAAAGATTGGGTCGACAGGTAGGACCATCTGTAGCAGCACACCCAGAATGCTGTTTAGTGTGGCAAAACCAGTTAACTGGCGCATGGTAGTGTGAGGTTAATCCCTGGACATGACAGTGATATAGCAGTGTAAGTGTGCCCCCATGTGACTACACGCAGGAACAACAATAATTCAAGATCCACTTGACGTGTTTGACCTGTAGAAATACTCGGCATCCAATAACTTAATAGTTTATCTGATTTGGTTGATCACAGATACCTAGTTAAACATAATTAAAATTGCAACTACAGTCTCTCTCTCTCAATAAAAAATCCTAAATATGAAAACATTTTTCAATTTCGGTTCCAATTAAAATCTGACTTGTATATCTTGATTATGTACATAAACTTGCATATCTTATCTTATGGTAACTTTAATATATATGTCTGATGTCACAAAAAACACAAGTGTTTGACATCAGGAAACACATCTATACACATATAAAGACAAATAAAACAAAAATTAATAATAATAATAAAGTATATATATGAAAGTTAAATAAAAAGTCAACATTGAGACATGATGTCAAGGGTATAGTTTTGTTTTAGTTTTTTGATTCCAATTAAAATCTAATTTGTATTCTGTTGTCTTTATTATGTGTTACATAAACGTGTATGTCTTATCTTATCTCAACTTTAATATATGTGCATATAAATATTTGCTGATATCAAACACAGGTGCACATAGACATATATGGACAAATAAAACAAGTACATAAACTTTAAATGAGACATTGTGTAAGGATTACTTTGTTTTAATTTTATCTTTTTGATTCTAGCACTTATCAATGTACTGTAAAAATGTTTTCAGACCTTTAATTCCATCAATAATTTTAGCAAGGTAAAGGCAGTAATTTCTGTTGTAAAGTACATTTTCTTTGAACACGATGTGGGGGCTTCTCTTTAAGAGAAACCTGCTAGAGAAATATCTAAAGAGCAAATTTTCCTGACATGCTTAAAGTCAACTTGCGATACTAGTACACTAACTACATACCTTATTGCTATGGTGTAAAGTTATGTTTGCCTAACAAAACGATAAAGTATGAACAATACTCAATAATGAGTATTTATTCATGACAACTATCTCAAACTCTTCAAAATCCAACTTTAGCTGTATAAAAAAAACAACATTTATTTTTACGCCGCAGTGCATGTCGGGTATGCAAAACTGTGCGGAATATCCTCCAGTCACTAAGCTCGATTCTAGGCAAAGGGGTGGGACTTTTGTTGTGTCAGCCAATCAAACGGTAGATCGTCTTGGCTTCCGCCTCTCAGCCACATCTCGTACTGTATTTTTTTTTTCTCATTTCGATGAATGCGTGTTTTTTAAAACATCTTTATTAGCAAAGACACTAACAAGGACAAGAATAGTGATTAATACAAATACAAATACAGACATAAACAAAAACATTAAACAAAGAGCACAAATGACCAAAAGACCAAAAGATTGATGAACAACATTTTTTTCTGTTACTATTATTGTGGAAACCAAACAGTAGCCCACTCGTACTGTAACTAATTGATTTGAGTGATTGATAAACCTGTTAATGCCCTGCGGTGGACTGGCGACCTGTCCAGGGTCTACCCATTGACTGTATATAAAAAGGGTGTACCCCGCCTTTCGCCCGATGTCAGATGGGATTGGCTCCAACCCCCGCAACCCTGTACGCAGGATAAGCGTTGACGATGGATTGATATTTGAAAAGTTAGTTGTAGTAGTAGGCCTACGTTACTGTAGTAATAAACAGTCTAATATTTAATAATTCGTTATAACAATTAATTAATAAATTGTATAATTAATGGTTAACTGAAATGAATGATTTCTTATTGCAAAGTAATTAGCAATACGCATTCTTTTAATTCATGATTTTGATGCAGAATTTTAACAAAAGAGGAGTAAAAGACAAGTTGACAAGAGGCCATGTGTCAGGTCATATTTTGTTATGGTCTGTTACTGTTGAAAACGAAAAAATCGAGATTCCAGTCATAATATTTATCACAATATTAAAAATAAAGGCACTCTCAGTGTAAATACCATGAAACTTTCATGGTTTTGACTGAAAATGTGTAACTCAAAGAGTTGATAAGTTAACCTGGGCAAGATGAAGTGAGACAGATCATGTTGTTATGTCATTGTTTCATCAACATCATTTTGTCCTTTCACCAGTCCTACACATAATTTAGATTCCCTCACTTTACCAACATGCACAAACACACTACTATAGATTTCATTTTTGAGTGTTTGAAAGCATAAATGTATACCTGCTATGATGCAAAATCTACATGGGCACAAGACAGTGTAACATAAATTTAAGTATTTTGACAGGCTGTTAGCAAAGAAGTTGTCGCCATATCTTTACCTATCTTTGATAGGCAGCAGGCAGAGGCCTCGTCAACAACCGATCATAAAAGAAAATTTCATTATGTGTTATAATGCTGTCTAGTGTTTTTGTTAACATATCTAATGACTTACTTTAGATTAAATATCAGTGAGATCCTCTTTGTTCACATTTTGATGTCTCTCTTCACTATTACTTGTTTCAGTGTTTTTAAAATCCTTTCTGTCACTCTCTATTAAAAAATAACTAACAATAATTATAACAAAAGTGTCACTGACACTGATACTTTCTAGCTTTCCACAACATTTTAAGGGCAAATATCCTACTTTTTACTCCACTACATGTATTTGATCATTTTAGTGGCAAGTTATTTTTGCATATAGGTTATAAGATAAGACTTTACAGAAATTCACAAGCTACCCAGCAGTATCTTAAGTAGGCTAATTAAAATTAGCCTTTACTAGCTGCTAAAATAACATGATGTCATATATTATTTGTAACAATTTAATATGTAGTATTCTGAAATGGGCTATTCTGCACAATGAGTACTTTTCCTTTCTTACTTGAAAATTTGATACTAATACTTTTACTTTATATTTTGATGATAGGCCTAATACCTTTGTACTTTAGTAAAATATTGAATGCTTGACTTTTGCTTATAACAGAGTATTTCTGTTATTTATTTAGTGGGATTGCTACTTAAGTAGAAGGTCTGAGGAGGACAGGATTATTCAATGTGTGGGAAAGTTTTACACACAGCACATGAACGCAGCATGACATTTTGCTCTTCCCCTTTCTCAGATGGGGAGACGCGTTTGCGGGCGTGACGCCATAAACCAATGAAGCTGTGAGAGAGGAGGGGTTACATGTCCCCATGTTCATAAATACCCTGAGCTTCTCTCTCACATCCGCTCTCTTGCCCTAGACGAAGTGTACCCTGGTGGTCTGTCGGTACCGTTTTTATTCTTCAAACACCCGCAAAAAAACTCAAACGCAATCATGAGCAGGAAATTCTTCGTTGGTGGAAACTGGAAAATGAACGGCGACAAGAAAAGCCTCGGGGAGCTCATCCAGACCCTGAACGGAGCCAAGGTGGACCCCAATGTCGGTATGTGGATCTTCATGAACCGTTACACCAAACCTGCTTTAGAACATATATCATTTTAGCCACTTAATTGTTGTCCGATTATCATGCTCACACTGTTAATTACAGCTTCAACAGTTAACTTGTCCGCGTTTTCATCTCTTCATATCACAACCGAATTCCCCATCCAGAGTCAAAATGGCTCGGCCATTCAATAAATCAATGACACCATTAGCAGCACAGACCTACATCTCCTTCGTTTTATGCACTAATGAAGTTACATTCATTGTGAGCGATGCTTTTTCCCGATATGTAACCGAGCTGACACTGAAAAGCCCCAGACGGACAGAAAATGAATGAGTGCAGATGACTGGTTTCGGTAATGTCGGTGGTGGGTGTGCGTTTGCAGCAGCACGTAGTCCAGCTGCCAGCTCTGCCTCTGCTGTGAAAGTGCTTGGTGCATTCAAGTGAGGCTGCTCGTAAACGTCTCCCCTTTCATCTGTAAGCTGATGAAGATGCACAGTAGCCTATTGTGAGAAGTTATTTTAACTTGTTGATGCGGTTGGAAAATTCATTGTCACGGAAGTATTAAACAAGTCAGAAGAGCACAGAAAACACTGATGCATGTTTGGTTTTGTTTTTTTTTTTTAACCCCCTGCTTGGTCAATTGTAGTCATCTCGTCTACGATTTTTCTAGCGTGACGTGAATGCAGCAGTAGACATTTGCCCTGTTTCAGTCTGCTTCCTGCAGATTTGAGACAAACTATACAGGCTGCTGTTTAATTAGGACATAACTCAGTTTTTCCATTCGGTGCACGATACTCACACGGAAATTGACACAAGCAGGGAGACGTTGAATGTGTCTCGGCTTGTTTCTGCTGTCATAGGGCCACTTCTGCTCCTCCTGCAAGTTGCTGTTGTGCAACTTCAGTGTTGTGTGTGTATACCAGTTCACCGTTCAGACCATGTTGGACCTTGCTCCATAATGCCCCCCCCCTCCTCACAGCGCCAGAGTGAAACTCAAGCAGACTTCCCACTGGCCTTTCTGCAGAGCTTTAAAGTCAAAGTTCAGCTGTTTCATTCACATGCTGGATATTATAACTCCTGCTCTTTCTTTGACCCTCTCAACTCACATGACTTTTCTTTGACCTCAGCAAAATGCAGCTGTGTAGGCGACCTTTTAGGAGGCTGAACTCAGACCTTTAATGCAGAGGGGTTTAACTGTGGCCTGGGACAAATGACCTTTACCAAACCAATAATAACATGAGGTGTTTAATATAGACTCTGGTAACTCCAAGATATATAGTTACATTTTGAATGTCAGTGTCTTGACTTGACTGTACTCTACTTGACCAATGCAGACTGTACTGCTGTTGAAAATCATGTTTGTCTGTGAAGGCAAACATTTTGTCTGTTTCAGAGAAGTACACCTTGGATGATGGCAGTTTCTAGTCCTGTGTTTTGAATTTTGGTGCTGGTGGACCCTTTTAGTTTACATTTTGATTATGGATTAAGTCTTTAAATGTCACATTTGAAAAGACTGGGCTGAATTTGAGCCCACACAGTGTTGAAGTGTGGAGGCCTGGAACTTCCCCTTGGGATATTGTTCAGTAGCTAAACATACCTGGTCATATTCATGGAATTTAGCCACAACAAAAAAAGGTTAAAGAAATTTTTTTGATAAACTTGACTAGAAAATGTTTGTTTTTTGCTGTCTTTTTTTTCCATAAAGGCTATAATTATTTGTTGGAGGCAGAATTATTTGAAATGGAAAACTCACTGTTTAACCATCACTCACGTTACTCATGATTGTTGTCTGAATTCTGTTATGTAGCCTACATTTGCATCTTCTACCAAAAGTAAATCCCAAACGTGTATGTATGTGAAGTTGGTCAAAAATGTGTTGCTATTTGGTTGTATAACTTGTTGGAATAGCTCTCACTGTCCTAAAACCTAATCTATGCATTGTTTTCTTCTGTGTTAATAGAGGTGGTGTGCGGTGCTCCAACAATCTACCTGGACTTTGTCAGGTCCAAGCTCGACGCCAAGTTCGGCGTTGCTGCTCAGAACTGCTACAAAGTTTCCAAGGGAGCCTTCACTGGGGAGATCAGGTACGTCATTTATCATTAGAGGAACATAACAAGGGTTTGATAATGAGTCGGTTTAAGAGGATTTGATCATTTTGTGTTTTTATATTATGAATATCATCTGTCTTCAGCCCTGCAATGATCAAGGACTGTGGTGTGAACTGGGTGATCCTGGGACACTCTGAGAGGCGCCACGTCTTCGGAGAGAGCGATGAGGTAATTCTGGATGATTTTATCATAGACCGTAATGACAGAGTGTAAATGGTAGGACTTGCATCCTTTTACATGTTTAGGAAATATAAAATAAATTAAAACACACCTGCGTACACGTTACAATTAGGTGTGTGTGTATGTGTTAGCTCATTGGTCAGAAGACAGCCCACGCTCTGGAGAGTGGTCTCGGTGTCATCGCCTGCATTGGCGAGAAGCTGGACGAGAGGGAGGGCGGCATCACCGAGAAGGTCGTCTTTGCTCAGACCAAGGTCATTGCAGGTACGCGACTCCTGACGATTCCACAGTGGAGTTTTATATGCACAGGAGAGTCTGGATGTTGTAACACACATTTCAGGGGCAATTTGCGCAAGGTGGAGTGTGGTGGAAATCAGGAAACATTGTGAAATACAAATTCAAGTCTTATCACATGTCTCTTTCACAGACAATGTAAAGGACTGGAGCAAGGTTGTGCTTGCTTACGAGCCTGTGTGGGCCATTGGCACCGGCAAGACTGCTTCCCCACAGCAGGTAAATATAACTAACTACTGAAAAGGATTTCTACACTCTCTTCCCACAACCCATTGTAATGTTTCCTGTACAATATCTCAGGCCCAGGAAGTTCATGAGAAACTGAGGGAGTGGCTGAAGACCAACGTGTCTGAGGCTGTAGCCAGCTCTGTGAGGATCATCTATGGAGGTCAGTCAAAGTCAAGTTTGTGTTAGTAGTTGAATAATTGCTAGGAAAAAATCCTCATGTTCTCTTTTTGATTTTGCACATCTCCATAAACCTGTTCATCTTCTCAGGTTCTGTGACCGGTGCTACCTGCAAAGAACTCGGCTCCCAGAAGGACGTTGACGGTTTCCTTGTGGGCGGAGCTTCCCTCAAGCCAGAGTTTGTCGAAATCATCAACGCCAAGGCATAAAAAAAACTCAGGCAGCTGCATTGTGACCATGTCCAGATCAGAGGCCAGATCCATACAGACGATCCATTTCCATCATCCCTCACACTCAGCACTTCCTCTTCCCCCTTTTATTCAAAGTATCTGTAATAATGTCATTCCCTCCTTTTCCTTTATATATATTTTTTTGGTATATTTTTTTTCATGAAGAAAAGGGACAGGTTGACACATGCACTGAAACGAGTTAAGTCCACTGAGAATGTGTGCATACTAACTTCCACACCAAGTGCTCAAGCTGTAAAGATTGACAATTACACCTTGAGGTGGACCGCACGTCCACGCCTTTACTTGAAGTTTACGAACTTTTTTTTTTTTTGTAAACAGTCACAGCTGGTGTCAAGCCGATTTATTTTGTTTAAAATCGGTCTCGTGTGTGTTGTGAGGTTCTGTGGGTTTTGCCTCCCTGTCGACGTGCATGAACCACTCTCTCTCATTGGCTGTTTTGCCACGAGAGAAGTGTCCATTACGTGTTTATCCTATTGTGTGTCATGGCTGATGGGTATGGAGGGTGGGAAGGCTGTAAAGAAACATTGTAATAAACGGTTCAGAGACTGTTTTGTCTTGTGTTTTTGTTTTAATAAAGTTCATCCCATTGCTTTCGGGGGGGGGGTGAGTGATGGCAGGGATAGAGTATCTCATTACAGAAGTGAACTCCTGTTATGACAATGCCATGCAGAAAGGCATTTGACATCTATTTTTATCCCAGCTCTGAACTAAAACCGACGCACGGCAGTGTAAGATTCATGTATTGGGGGAAACTGTAGCATTGCCAGTTACAAACTTAGTTATATAGAACTTAACATATTAGTGTATATTAGACTGTAAAATAAACATCTTGTGTTTGTTGTAACAAGACTTTATTCCTACCTCAGGTCTCTTAATAATAAAGTATACTCCTATAAACAAACAAAGTGTTTTTAGAGGATTTTAGCCTGGTTGGTTTCTAACCAACTTGCAAACATTGTATACTTCTCACTCTGATGCACACACTTTCATTGTACTCTACAAGCCAGGGAGCAAAGCCATAGCTTTTGTCATTTTCCTTAATTCAACAGTGAGGGTAGAGATGCAGACAGGAGAGGGTAGGACATGAAGCAAGGATCCCCCTGCTGGAAGCGACGCAGCAATATTCTATGCATCTTAACTACTAGGGCAGATGCCCCAAAGAGTGTTTTTAATTGGTTAGGAAACAGTCTTTATGTAGTAAATATACAAAAGTATTTTGAATTGGCCATGAGACCAAATAGTGTGTAAATACACTGTGCTTAGGTTCTGTAAGTTTGTTTCTGTGGTCTTGAGGTAGATTGTTTAACCTTACACAGGGTAAGTTGGTTTAGTATAAATGCTCTTTTGTGGTAACACCCTGTTAATGGTACAGTATTATAACAAAAGAACAGGTTAAGTCATTCATATAAGAGAAAATAAAACTAAAAGACAGGTGGCAAGTGGAGCAGGTTAATTCAGCTCAGGTTGAGGTCAACATTTCAAATGTTCAGATTTCCTTCAAAATCTGCGTATCTGACTTCAGCAAATATTCGGTTTTAACCAAACTGTCTGTCCCAGTGTCTTTGTCTTCTTTATATTCTTACTGTATTGAAACCACCACAAGAGCAAGGGTATGTACAGGAGGAAGACAACATAACAAGAATACTCATAGAATCTAATGTAATTTAACACAATAGCACTTTTTAAAATAGCATTTTATTTTCATCAGAACTGCACTGAACATAGCATCAACAACACACAAAATAACCAAGTTAAAAATTAATGTTATGTTAGTTATAACATTTGACAAATGTTAGTTACAATTTATACATATATACATACAAAGACTTGCACAAGCACCGGTTTGCTGTATGTTTGATGATTTCATTAAACATGAATTTCATTAAAAATACACAAAATGTGAGCACAATTTCAGCTGAAATGTGTCTTAAAACTAGATTCTGACAAATTTCCGTATCTGAATTGAGGCTCTATTGGTAGATGCTGTGCAAGCCCCTTGAGGCAAATTTGTGATATGGGACATTAGGCTATATAATTAAAATTACTTGACTTGACACTGGGTCCCTCTACAGAATAAGACAAGGCCCCATGATTGGATAGAAATGCAAGCGCCACCGTTGGGCCCTTTCTATTTCAGTTTTTAGTTGTGCTTTTCGTTGTCCAAATTGCTAAACAAAGAGAGTCTCCAGAAATCCCGCATTGATTTCATGTGATTTTATTATGTGAGCTGGGCTCTCATTGGACATTTTATTTGGGCAAAGTAATTTACAAATATAATCCCATTTATAAATACAGTTTTTGTTTGTTTTGTAATGTTATATTTTTCCATTCCGCAACCCTTATTGTGCGCTGCATTATATTACAAGGTGTTCCTTTTATTTTGTCCCCATCCCTCTGCATCCTGGATACGGAGAACAGGGGTCTTACATTCGCACCCCGGTCCTGCAGGGGGCGGTAGTGCCTCACACTGAGCACTCAGAGTGGCACGGTCTCATGTCCGTGTTTACAAGCGAAGCGTGACGTTCACGGATCGCCCAGAACACGTCTCCTAGAGCAACTAAAAGCTATTTATTTTGATCAGAGACCTCTAACATGCTGTCCCTGAAAGCTTTTCTCAGCGAGAGACTGGCAGCCGCGGCAGAGGAGATATTTGGAGCTGTTGAAAAAACAATAGCCGAGTACAAAGAGGAGATTTCTCGTTCAAAAGATGTAGAAATCAGTCGTCTCAGGATGCAGCTGAAGCTTCTCAAATCAGGTTGGTGAATGGAATCTGCTTGCAACCAAACCCCAAGCAGCTTTGCATGATTCTTAAGTTAAACTGCATGATTGTCATTGTCATCATTTGTCTTCTAACCAGAGCCCCGGTTGGATAGATGCCTTGGAGCCCAGCTGCAGCAGCACACCCACCACCACCATCATCCTCATCCTCATCCTAATCCTCCTCAGCAGCAGCACCATCAGCCAGTCCCTGTAGTGGAGGCTCCTGGGTCCCAACACTGTGAAGAGGATGGGGGGCACGAGCATGGCGCAGGAGCATCCCGAGCCCTCACAGGTCAAGAAGGAGCATCAGAAGAGCCACAGGGATTTCTGGATGGCACAAGATGCAGAGCAGCTCGGGAGCCTTGAATCAGACATCAAAGACTTCATCTCATCTCCTGCCAGTCTGAGAAGCAGCCTGCAAGACTCCACCTTACCCTTCCACCCCAACCACCACAACAACAATGGCGAGGAGAGCAAAGAGAAGCCCTACTGCTGCTCTGTTTGTGAAAAGCGCTTCAGTAACTGCTCCCACCTCGCAGCTCACATCAGGACACACACGGGAGAAAGGCCATACAGATGTGAAATATGCAGAAAGACTTTTATCACAACAAGCGCTCTAAACAGACACCAGACCATCCACACTGAAGGAAAACACTTTGTCTGTAATTATTGTGGTAAATCCTTCAAGTGGATGGAGTCTCTTGGCAGGCACATGAGAAGTGTGCATAAGGAGAGAGAATGTACCTGTATGACTGTCACTGAAATCACATTAATGTCCATCAGATTCATGTTGTTAATCATCTATGATTTAAGTATGAAACACCAAACATTATTATGTGCAAACAAAGAATGTAATGTCTGTTGTAATGTCTGTCTGTAACTGTGCATATACCTCATTAAACCTTTTGTACATAAACACTAGCTGCTGTAAATTATGTGCAAATGAATTGTAAAAACACATTCACAGGCATAGTGTTTTATAAATAACTTATGGTAAATGTATTCTTACAGAATAAAATGTTAATACTCTAAATACTTTGTTTGGTATAGTTTAATCTATACTGCTTTCTGCTGCAGGAACAGAAGGAAAGACAAGTCACACAGTATTCCAGTAGGTGGCAGTAACGGCATTTAATTCACAATTTCCCATCAATCTACAGTATTTGGCAACATTCAGACATCTGTAATGTACTGAGTATGTACTGCTTTTCTGGGAACTGACTGTACTCTTACAGTCAAACTATTCCAAATATGAGAGTGGTAACTCCTTATTCCCATTGGTTGAAAGTAACTGAATTTACTCAAGTACTGTACATTACAATTTTGAGGTATATTATAATAATAATACTTTATTTATTTAATGGCACCTATCATGGCACTCAAGGTCACCTTACATCATGTAAGTGAGTAAAGATGATTTTAAAGAGCAGTCTGGAGTAGAGTCCAGTATACGGATGTGAGGCGGAAGAGAGTTCCAAAGTTTGGGTGCCTTGTAATGGTCCTAGTACCCATTGTGTTGAGGATGATGGCTGGTAGTGCCAGTAGACTTGATGAGGAAGACTGCAGGTACTTTACTTGAGTTTGTTGCTACTTCATACTTAAAAGTACAATACTAATTTGTTAGCTCTAGTTACTAGTTACTTTGCACACTCAGATAAAACAGAAAATAATCAACAAACAATTGATGATGTTATATATAAGCACTATGTAACTTCTTTTTGAAAAGTGCTCTACAAATTATTATTACTATTAATTATTATTATTAAATTATTATTATAAGCTCCTGGATACCTCAGTGGTTAATGCCACTGACTTTGGTACAGGTGATCGTGGGTTCGACTGGCTACTGGAACAAGACATTCATGGACTAGAGCAGAAAATCTGGATCTGATGCAATGCTACTATACAAGCAATCCCGGTGAGAGAGGTTATATGCAGAGACTATGGGATATATGGATGCTTCGAAACCCATCATCAACACCTAGAACATCTGGCAACTGCTATCACAACTAGAGATTGACGAAGCCAATTGCACAAGTCACCATCAAGTGTGGCATATACCAAGGCGATGTTGTTCTGCATAGGCCTGAACCCCCTCAGCCAGATAATCACAAAGACAGTTACTGGTACAGATACCGGTTCCAAAGTCACCTCCTCTACATCTTCGTCATTTCATTTATTCATTTAGCTGACATTTTTATCCAAAGCAACTATACATGTCAGAGGTCGCACGCCTCTGGAGCAACTAGGGGTTAAGTGTCTTGCTCAGGGACACAATGGTGGATGTCTAACAGTGGGAACGTGGGTCTCCCACACCAAAGGCAAGCATCTTATCTATGCCCCATCACCACCCAGTACTCTACATGGATGACATCAAGCTGTATGCCAGAAATGAGCGAGACATCAACTCACTGATCCACACTACCAGGATTTACAGCATTGGAATGTCGTTTGGACTGGAAAAGTGTGGTTGCATGGTATCAAAAAGAGGTAAAATGATCAGAACTGAGGGGATTGAACTACTAGAAGGCCACATTGCAAATGTTTAGGACCTTGGTGTTGCAGGCCGCAGGCTAACGGAAACCATGAGGAGGCAGCAAGGAAGTCTGCCACAGCCAGATACCTACAGAGAGTAAGGCAGGTCCTGAAAAGTCAGCTGAATGCGAAGAACAAGATCCGAGCCATCAACACATATGCCCTGCCAGTCATCAGATAAATAAATAAACTGGTCAAAGTAGGAGCCACTGACATCAAGACAAGAAAGCTCCTCACAATGCATGGAGGGTTT